ATCCCTCCACTGAGCTGCCTGTTGGAAAAGGAGCCCCGTCTGAAACACAGTTCAGAGTGAATGGACTGAGTGTGTGGAGGCCTCCTCTGGGCCAAGTAGAGCCTCCTGTCTGTGTCCAGGGTCCTGTCCTCTTCCCTCTGATAGCCTTATAATTAACCTTCTGTGTGCAGCTGGGAAATTATTTCTCCCACCACAAGGCCAGCTCCCTGTGAGGACCTAGTTTGTGCTGGCAATTGATCACTTGCGCCTGTCCTGTGTCTGGCATTCATTCGTTTAAATATCCAAATATGTGGGTGTCTGAAGATCTAGTGATCATATAGCAGAGTTTGGTTGTGGTGTGAAACTTCACCACTGACTATAACGAGAAGACATTTGAGGGACACTTACCATATTCTAGACACTCTAATCAAGGGGAGCTGTGTCCGGAAGGAAAATAATCTAGCTCTTAGAAAAAAAAATGTGCAGGACAGTAGTGGACTGGAACCCTTGCCACTGCTGCCATGGCCCCACCTTTTCTTCCTGTAAAAGAGACTGTGAGACTACGTGATGCAGGGGAAACTACCAGACAGACTGCGTGATGCAGGGGATGCTGTTTCCTCCTGTCATGGGACAAAAGCTGTAGAAGACAGCCTGCCCCCAAGACCAGAGCTGGCCTGCGGTCTGAGGCTGATTTCCAAGGCAGGTGGTGACTCAGAAGTCAAGAAGCAGGAAGTTTGTTGCTGGGGGAAGCTCAGAGTTGGTCTTCACATCAGTCACACTGGACTTCACAGGTCCAGTCCCAGCTCTGTTGGTCATGGGTCTGAGTGAACAGGGCAGGGCACCCATCTCTCAGGGTAGGAAAAGTGGACAAGGGATTATCTACTCAGCATTTGAGCTGAGGGGGAGAAAGTGCTGTTTAAAGTATGCTTGGAAAGGTGCCTGGGGCACGAACATGGGAATTAGCCTAGTGATTTCCCAGAAGTCTCTCAGTGAGAGGAAACCCAACATCACCTAAGTGTCAGCCTTGATACCACACTTGGGGGGCAGGATTTAGGACTAGGAAAGACATCTTTTGTTTGGTATGCAGAGCATCCTTAACTGAAACTGACCGTCATGGGTATCTGAATTTGTTTTCAGCAGGGAGTGAGCTGTTAGACGGCTTCCCAGGTATGACGGACACACTCAAGGTGCCCGGTGTGTAAGGGCAACAGCGCAGGTCCTTTCTTGGAGCTGGCGCTCTGTGGGGATGTCCTTGCCACCACCAGTTCCTCCACTGCCTGAGGTCTTCAGAGAACAAACCCAGGATGTGCCTTCCCCAGGGCCAGCACAGAGTGAGATCATAGGCTGGTGTGAAAGACCTTAGAACCAGCCATGCAAGGCACATGGGACACAATGTCCATCGCCAGTGAGGACAAGCATGGTCACTCTGTCCCTCTAAGGCTCTGCCTCCAGAGCTGCCCTTGCCAAGTTTTAGGACTCATAGCTGATGATATTAATCCTGCCAGCCATGGGCACAGAGGGTCTCACCCGGGGCTCTTTCTGACTTGGTCAGTTCCCCTTTCTTCTGATTGCCTTCATTTCTATCACTCTCAATACACTGGGGTTTCAAGAGACCAAGAGCAGCCTTGAAGCCCCCTTTTCTCAGGTGTGTGCCTTTGCTATGGTTTTGGCAAGCGTCCCTCAGAGGCTGTGTTAAAGTCTTGGTCCCTGCATGAGGTGCTGTTGGGAGCTGGTGAAGCCTTTAGGCGTGGGGCCAAGCACTGACTTTTTCTTGGTCGTTCAAAGGCATCCTCCCTTCTCTCCATTTTCCTGCCATTGCTTTGGCTGGCCATGGCTCTTATCATCTGTCCCATGGATCACTGGCATTGACCCTTGATCTTGGCCAGTGCACATCTGCCACCTCCTCTTGCTAACAGTCACATCTCTGTTGAGATGTCATCTCCTTCCTTATTTTAACCTCCCTTTCTGGTGTCTTTGTAACTTAGGGATAATAGAAGACCTTTTCAATATCTCCCACTTCATACTATGATATGAAAAATTGCATGCAATACACTCCTTCAATTTCCCTGCAGACATCAACTATTTTATGCCTCTCTGCTTGAGAAGACCTTCCTAAAAGAAGACACATGGGCTCCTCCCCTGAGTGGTCGGGCTATTGAAGTAATGGATCCTAAGCTATTGGAATTTCCCTGGAATCTCATGCTGAAAAGAAGGATGGAGCCTGGTGGCAGCTGGAGGAGCCTGTCTCCTTGAAGAGACTTCTCATGGTTCTCAATTGTCACAGTACTTTGCAGGGGAGGCCGGAGCCAAGACAGTGACAGCCAGTAATGAGGAGGACCACACTTTCCCAACTGCTTGGTGATAAAACTTGTCCTTTCTCTAAACCCAAATCTCATATCGGAACCTGGAAATGGACTCGAGGGGCAGGGTCACCTGACATCTTCCCAAAGTGCCCATATGGATCTTTGTTTGGCCAGTTGTGGATAGATATCAGAGCCTTGCTTGTTAGGGACTGCCAGAACCCACGTTATGATCCTAACAACTTTGGTAACATTTTGAAATGGCAGATATGAACAGCAAATATGGTAATGCGTCAGCTGGAAAGGATGCAAGTTCCTAATTCTAGCCTTCCCAGGCTTGAAATTAAGCAATATTTGCAAGCAGGCTATAAAAACATTTTGAGCTTGTTTTATTATTATTATTATTATTATTATTATTATTTAGTTTTTAGGCTTTTTGTTTTGCTTTGTTTTTGAGATAGGAACCTGCCATGTAACCCAGGCTGGCTTTAGAATTCACTATGTAGCCCAGGTAAGCCTTGAACTCTCTCTCTTCCTGCTTCTGCCTCCCTAGTGGTGGAATTACAGACCAACGCCACCAAGGCCATCTTAAGATCACAACTTCAGGAACAAACTAGAGTGTTGTGGAAATGTAGCCCAAATGAAGCCATTTCTCTGACCTCCTCCTGCCTGCTTATCCCTTACCCTTCATTCTTCCCCAGAGGCAAACTGTAGAAACTCAAACTCCTCAGTCTCAGGATGGGTCCCAGAAATGAGGACAGCTCCTCTGAAAAGCCAGCCATAAAACCTGATAAAGTATTGCTTTGACTTCCTCCCACTTTTCTATGTGAGAGCCTGCCGGAAACAAATTGTCTGCCCCACCTTATATGTCCTAGAAAGCACTGGGCTCCATTCCCAGACGGAGGGCAGTGCACAGCAGCCTAGGAGAGTTCGCAAAGGCCTTACTAAATCCCCTAAGTCTAGCCCCCCACTCTACCCCCAGATCCAGCTCCCCCATGTCTAGCAGAAGCTGGAGGCTTCTCGGTGCAGCCAGTTTTCTACCCAAGTGACCATGCTTAGTGGAAGCCGAGCATAAACGTAGACAGCTCATCCTAGCTGACCTTTGGCCCTAAGAAGACAAGTCTTATGCTTTTGTCATAAAGATGTGGGTCTGAATGACAGCAGGAGATAGGTGAGCCCTTTCCTGCTTCCACAGCTGCCACCATTACACTTCATCTCCCCCTCACCCACCTGCAGACCAGCACCCTCCATCACCAGGTTCATGCTGTGCACAGTCAGCTTTGTGCTTGGACACGAAATGGTTCATTCGTCCTCCCAAGAGCGCTTTCAACTTTGCCCTCGGGGTTGGCTAACCACCACCAGGCTGTTCATTTTTATTTCCCTAAGTGGGATCATATTCTACTTCAAAAATTTTAAGCAAATAAAATTGCAACTCCCAACGGTTATGTGTAATCCCTGGGATCGGCCATCAGAGATTTCCCTCTAGGAAAATCTGAGGTGATAAGAGGCAAAGGTTGAGAGAAATAGCCTAGTGTGGATCCTCTCAGAACTCCCAAGTGCCAGAGGGTTTTTATTGCCATGAAAGAACAAGATTTTAGCCGTTTTTATATATTCCCATTACATTCATATAAAAATTAAGAAAAGTATATATACCCCTGTACTCTAATAGTTAATGATCTCGGGTACCTAATCAAGAAAAGTGAAAATTTATGGCCTGGAGAGAAGCTTGCTCGTGACTGTTCCTGTTAGCATTGCTCCCCATAGCCCAAATTAGAAACACTGCCGATGTCCATCAGTTTCACATGGACCGACAGCGTGTGGGATATCTATACGGCATAATAGAATTCCTCACCAAAGGGATGGGATACTGAATCCCTGAAGATAGAGTCAAAAGCGAAAGTCCACACATCGCCCTGTTTATGTGAAATGTCCAGAATAGTCCAAACCCAGAACACAAAAGCTAATTAACATTTGTCTTGGGCTGGGAACAGAGGGATTAGGGACAGTGATTGCTTATGGTCACAGGGTTCCTTTGAGAAAAACACAAAGGTTCTAGAAGTATATGGAGATGATTGCCTAACTTTGTAAATACAATAAAAACCCTGAGCTGTGCAATTTAAGTGGGTGACTACTAAGACGTGAGAATTATACCCCAATTTATCTTACATTCCATGGAAAACAGCCCTCTACCTGATCCCATCTTTAAGAGCAGTCAAGGGTTGGGGTAGCAGGGGGATGGGGAGATGGGTGGGCATTCTGGGTATGATTAAACCATCTCTCTCAAGTCTCTGGCCAGACTCTACAGGATGCAGGCCAGGGTTCCCCAGCCCACTCCTAATCTCCTTACTCCGCCCCCTACCCTGCATCCTGCCCTCTCTGTCCTCCTGGGAGCAGCAGGGTTCCCACTGGCACCTGCAGGGCTGCTCTCTGTACCTCAGATTCCTGTTCACCAGCTCCTCACCCCACCCTCTTACCTGTCTCTGCTTCCCCTTCCTCCTGAACCACCGCATTCACATCCTTCCAAGTTGTGCACTTGTTCTTTGCTTTACTGCAGACAATACCTGCCCCAAAGGTTTCTGGGGTGAGGGGGAAAGGGCTCGGAGTAAAGCTTAGAAATCTGTACTCGGTGGTATTTGAAAGATGGAGTTTTATGCTTCAAAAAATGTGTTTTTTCCCATAAAAAGATAGTATCCCACTTTTAAAGCTAAATAATTTTTGAGATCTCTTGCATAAATAATATTTTATTACAGGTAGCAATCTAATTTATACATGTTCATACATTTCAAGGACTACACCCAAGCATCAGGAACATAAAATTTCAAATGCAAAATAGAAATTTACACCAACAAACACTATGTACTACCTTCAGTTGCTTACACAGGATCCAAAGGAAGCAAGCAAACCCTAAAATCATAGCAGAAGCATTTCCGCACACTGGTATCAACATCTAGTTTGTGCTGAAGTGTTTCCGCTAGATTCATAGAGTATTCCTCGGAAGGAAGGAGCGAAGAGCCATCATCTGGTTGCCTTCCGGACTTTCTGCAGCTCTTCCACGGGCTTCCATTGCTGGTTGATGGTTATAAGCTTGAAAAAAGAAGAAAGCAAGCTGCTTTGTTAAGGATTTGCTCTCGGTCCTCACATTCCCTTAGGGGACCTGTTGTTCTCCCTGAAGGAAGAACATCACTACAGAATCACCTCTCCTCAACCCTGAATCAATCACAGAATAGCAGACTGGCCAGTTCCTACCACTCCACCCGCTAAGACCTCTGGGTCTGGAGGTGTCACAGGATCAGGGGGAGCAGTCACACATCTGTCCTACTTACATTAGCAGTGTCAAGATTTTTTAATTTGCTAAGATAGCATTTAAATTCAAGGGGTGCATCAGTTCCTTGTAAAAGGATGGACAACGTTCAAGGCACAGGGCAAGACACACAGTAGGCTCTTAAAATTCCCTCCTTGCAGTTGCTTCGGGGAGGCATGAATGAGCCAATCAGCTCTCATTTAGACACCCCCATTTGTCCCCAGCAGCGCTTTCTCATCCCGGGCCCTGAGACACAAAGATTCTGAATGCTTCTCCTTAACTTAAATGTTTTCAGAGCTTTGCCTTTTGTGAAGTCTTTTCTAACAGCCCTAAATGGTGCTCATTCTGGCCCCATGCTTCTAGTCTTCAGAATATTTAAATTACAAAAACTAAAGCCTAGAGCGGTGAGCTGGCTAAAAGTGCTTGCACCCCAGGCCTACAACCTGGGTTTGATCTCTGAGATCTCCATGGCGGGAGAAGAACACTGATGGCGTCAGTCAGCCTCTGACCTCCACACGCGAGCCACGACACAGGCGTGACTCCCTGCCCCCAACAAATAGTTACAAATACATAAGTATATAATAATTACAAATAAAACCTTTTGAGTAGTCTTTTGGAAAATAAGTGAATGACAACTAATTCCACTGAGAAAAATATTCACTCCATTTTCAGGAATTCCTATTGTTTATCCCACCTTATATTAATTTTAGGGAAGTAATAGGGAAACAAGCTAATGTATTTCAAAATTGATAAAGATTTATATTTGAATGGCTAAATATGGGCTGGGCACTATTCTAAAAGGCTCTGTATTTAGATTCTTTAAGCTCTGAGGGCAAGTTTTATCATCATGATCATTTCACAGATTCAGAGAAGCCAAACTGTCCGCCGTGTCTGTGCAGAACAGAACAGCGACCTGAGCTAGGTCTCTAGACCACTGTTTCCAAAATGACACTAGATGTCCACTGTCGGCACAAGGGCTACAGCCTGCTTTACTGGCAAAGGTCCTAGCTGAATGTCAATCACATCTTGTAACTTCAGCAATACCTTTTGGGGTTGAGTAGGATCCACCATTTCCCAAGGTTCTGGGTTTCTTTTCCGATCAATACTAAAAATAAAAGAAGATTCATTAAATGAAGGTAAATGTGTTTATACAAACCCGAGAGAGATTGGGCGTATGAAATATCCGGGGACTGATTCGGTCTCCACACTGCAACTGTTAACTTTGGTCACCCGCTGTAACCGCTGAAGTGAAAGAAGCGTCCACTGAAAACTCAGGGTTTGCTTCGAGCTGTAAGGATCCCTTCCTCTGTAGTGCAGGTAAGAGGTCTATTACTTTACTGGGCGGGATTGGAGACTATGCCCACAAACAGGTAGTCATGGAGGTGAAAGGACAAGCAAGGGCCGGGTTTCTACCAGGGATGGGGGCTACGGTGAACTGTGCAGGCGCTGGCTCCGGGCACCACCCTCTCTGCCTGTTGTTAGAGCGCCTGTCCTCTCTGAACCTTGAACCAGCTGTAGTCAGTCTCAGAAATATCTCTTCCTTGAATCCCAGGAGACAAAACCTAGCTAGTACTTTCCTTTACCCAAAATTGAGAATAGAGTTCATTGCAGATAGCTGAACGTTTCAATTCTATCACAGTAGGAGAGAACTTTCTCATTAAGTTGACATTTTGAAACCTGAAAGCAATTATGTTTGATGATATGTACCCCCTAAATGTTTTTTTTAAAGTATTTCAATTTCAATGCTTAAATTTAAAAAGAAATCAAATTTTACTTCGCTACAGGAGAGTCGAGGGTTCAGATGTAAGAAACAAATGTCACCGTCTGTCAGCCTCTCCGACACCAGAATTCTTTTTCAGCCCACACTTTGGTGTTCTGATTCGTAGGAAAAACCCAGACACTGACGGCATGTGTTTCAGAATCTGCAGATCGGAGAAAAGCAGACATCCCTACACGGGAGGTATTAGTACTTACACCACGTCGGTTTTTTTCAAAGCATACAAAGAGAAAGCTGAAGCTCCAGTGGCTGCCACGGTCATGATAAACGCCAAAGGAATGAGCTAAGACAGAACAGGTGGGGGATAGATTCAGTATGAAACCTCTGAAATACAACAAAATAGTATAAAAATTCAAACTCTTCACCATCTTTTTTTTTTTTTTCCTCTAGAGAGAAAAAACCCACTCAGAAGTCAAGATTTACCGGTTGCTTTAAAAACTTACTTCCTTATTTTTCATCAATCTCTGGAAGATGCCCATGATGACTTTAGTGTAGAATTCCAAATCTAGAAGGAAAAATCCGAGATACCGATCAAAAACATCCTGCCGGGGCTCGGGGAACCAAGCCGTCCAACAGACGCAGAAGGCCCGGCGGGGGCCCGCTCCGCAGAACTTTCCAGAAGGAGACGCACCTGGGGCGGCTGTAGTAGGGAGATGTTAACGCCCAGCAGCGAGCCGGCCTTATATGCTGCCAACCGCTCGGGAAGGGCAGCGTTCTGGTCACGCGGGGACCAGTCAGACGGACGCGCACTGAGCCAGCTCACGCGCGCCCCCTGCAGGACGGTCGCGCAGCGCGGCTGCTGACCGCGGTCCTTACCCGCGGTCCCCTTCTATGGTCCCCATCACTTTCTGTCGGTCCTGCACCTCCAAAAGTCTGGGAGATTCCCGTGTGATGGCCAAAGCCTGGGTGAAAGACACCCAGCCCTTCTAAAAAGAAGGGACTGAGGGAGGGGTAAGGGAGGGCAGGGGCTCTAGAGTTGACCGCCACCTTCTCCCGGAGTACCAGGAGAGGATGCCAGGTTCAGGGCGGGGTAAATTGGACCAAATTCAACCACATAAAAGTTCTAAAACGTGACTTGTCACACACGGAGATTGCTAAAAAGTAAATTGTAAAGTTCATATAAACTCCAACGGAGTCCTGATGCCTGCCCCCTCCACCCCCAAAAAAGTCAGGGTTAAGGGAAAAGAAACAAAACTCAACTGCAGAAGATTCCAGGTGTCCTTTTCTGCTGTGGACTCGAACTGTTGGCTTCATCTTTGGATTACCCCCCTAACTGAGAAACTTGAGCTGGCCGTTTGCTTTGTGAATATTTCCTCTAGGCCAGCAACTATGCACCACTGAGCCAGATTCCTGGACCGGGACATAGTGGGGCAGAGCCAGTGTGCTAATAGACGCAGACATGTTCAAAGCAGGGTGAGTGACAGAGGGAGGTCCTCTCCCAACACCAGCGTTCTTAGTGCTCACTAAGCCAAAACAAGCTTGGTACTTTAAAGTTGTTTTAAATCACACTGAGGGTATAGTTGTGTCCGTGGGAAAACCCTAGCTTAGGATGTACTAGAGTGTCCAGACTATGGCCCCCGAGTTGCAGGATAACCCAATACATTTACAGATGATATTATGCCACAATATCAAAAAGTTGGATAATCCTCTGACTTGGGTTAAATTTCCAGTACAAAATCCTTCTGCAGGAAAGAAACTTTTGGCAGAGGTGGGGGTGGGCAGGGGTGGGGAACAGCTGTCTTACTACAACCTAGCCCAAGCGGGTCTCAAACTTCAGATGCTCCCACTCAGCCAGGTGAGTGTTGGAATCACAGATGTGTGCAACTGAGCAGAAAGAGAACATCTTTTAAATTTGTATTTTATTTGAGAATTTCACTCAAGATATTTTGAGCATTTTCACCTCCACTCCTCCTCCTCCAGTCCCTCCTGGATCCATCCCTACCTCCCTACCCTCTAACTTCGTGGGGTCTTGTGTTTGTTTGTTTGAAATAACCAAGTCCAGTTTGTGTTCCCATATACTCTGGGGTATGTGGTCATCCCCTGCTGGGGGCCACATCCTTAAGGAAAACTGATTCTCCTGGAAAAACCATCGACTGTCTATAGCTCCTCAGTTAAGGGGGGAGGGGGATGTCACGAACTCTTTCCCCGCCCTCGTACTAAACTGCTGATTAGTTTGATCTTCCTCGGGGCCTGCAGAGGCACCCAACCACCATGAGATCGGGAGTGTGGTGGTCCTGTCATGTCCAGAAGACACTGTTTGGTTCCAGTCCCCCACAACCTCTGGTTCCTACATACACACACCCCTTCCCCATGATGATCATTGAACCTTGAGCAAGTATAACAGAAATGTCCCATTTGGTACTCAACTGACAACTTGGCCTCGGCATTTTAATCAATTCCGGTTCCGGCCCTAATAGTGTCCACTGCACAATACAACTCTCCTGAGGTCTGAGAGCTGCACCTATTTACCAGGAGAGAGACGGATTTAAAGGGCAGTGATGCTATGTCTGCTAAACATAGGAATCATAGTAGGCTCACCCCTAGAGCCTCTGGACTTCCCAATTACAGGCTCTCAGGCAGATTTACAGTAACAGACATGGGTTTTCTTCTGTGGAGTGGATCTTAAATCTAATCCAAATTTCTTAAATCCAAACTTTTTAATGGTTGGTTACCCCGTAGCATCTGTGCCACTACTGCACCCATGGAGGTCTTACTACAGCACAGCCCAGGCTGGCCTCACACATTGGTTACTACTGTAGTTTTCAGCTGGGCAAGGCCATTGATGACTCCCCCACCCCACCCCCACCCACCCCAGCAGCCTACACAGCACTTTCCAGTATATTTCCGGGCATCTATCCGAAGGAGTCTATTTCCTACCACAGAGACACGTGCCCATCCATGTTCATAACTACTCTGGTCACAATAATTAGCAAATTCACCATAGTATTGATCATTCCATGAAGTTGCTACATTGTTCTATTTTTGTTCCCAAGTTTTTAGGATAAAATGTTAAAGGTACTGAAATATGTATCTACATATAGAATGTGCTCATACAACCTTTAAAATACACTCATTTCTACTTGTAGCAATGACAGATCCAGGAAGCCACACTTTTGACCTTTAGCGTGAATGCCCAGGTATGCTGAATTCTGAAAGATGCAGGGGTAGGGTATTTGCTTTGTTTTTCTCTTGGGTTCAAGGAATTACAGCAATTCAAGGTAATTTGTATTTAACCATCAATTTCACTTATTAACATAAACGCAGCAATTTAAATATTAAATTATCTGCTCAATAAATATCATTACAAAAATAGGTATATGCTAACAATTCATATCTTTTGGTCTTTTTTTCCTGAGTGCTGGGGGCAGAACCATCTAGAATTTTCCACCACCCAGTTCTTCAGAATACACTTTCCCTAATAAGATTCCCCACTTCACAAACACTGAACACTGGATCCAGGTGGGGCACCAGGCCACTGCCACCTGGAAGACCAGGATGTGAAGCAGGTATGCCTACCACCCTTCACCTTTCAAACGTGGGCAGGCCCCCGAGTTCCCATCAGGACGCTATGTCCTTGCTAATTCTTCGAGGAAGCTTTCTGTCTCCCCAACTCCCAATGCTAGACATTCTTAGAGCCTTCTTTAGCTAGGACAACCTGACTTACACATCCAGTCATGGTTGTTGGGCTCTCTCCCATGGAATGTAAACTTAAGCAGCAAACCTCCTAGCTTCAAAAAAAATTTTTAAATAATTTATTTGTATTTTATATACATCGGCGTTTTTGCCTGCATATATGGGTGTCACACCCCCTGGAACAGGAGTAACAGACAGTTGTGAGCTGTCACGTGGGTGCCCGATACTAGGAGTTCCAGATATTCTTCGTGCTAGGGTCAACAGTTAAGGTTCAAGGGCAGTCTGAGCTCAGTACAAGGAGGAAATAAACACTGCCAACTTACTGACTTGCTGTCCAGGCCCAGTGTTCACCTTCCGCAAAGAAGACTTTGGCATGAAAGTGAAATGAAGACTGGAGTTGGTTGTTTTACTCTTTGCTCCTCTGAGGGCCCGCCACCCAGCTCACAAATAAATCATATGGAGGCTTATTCTTACAAGTGCCTGGTCTTAGCTTGACTTGTTTCTGGTCAACTTTTCTTAACTAAAATTATCCTGTCTGTCTTTTGCCTCTGGGCTATTACCTTTTTTTTTCTATATGCCCTTCTTTACACCACATCAGCTGGCTGTAGTTGTAGCTTGGTGGCTGGCCCTTGGTGTCTTCCTCTCCTCTTCTTGCTCCTAGATCATCGTTTGCTTCCTGATCCTTCTTTTTCTCCTTGTATTTATTCTCTGTCTGCCAGCCCCACCTATCCTTTCTCCTGCCTTGCTATTGGCCATTCAGATCTTTACTAGACCAATCAGGTGTTGTAGACAGGCAGAAACACAGCTTCACAGAGTTAAACAAATGCAACAGAAAGAATGCAACGTATCTTTGCATCATTAAACACGTTCCACGGCATAAACGAATGTGGCACATTTTAAAATAATATTCCACCACAGGGGACTATTGGGGCTAACAGAGTAGATCATGAGAAGGAAGAGGTGGAGAAAGGCAATACGAACACAGGACGTGTGTGAGAATGTCATGAAAACCAGCTTAGTAAACTATAAAGTCTAAGTAAAAACCAATTTTTTAAAAACAGTCTTGGAAGTTGTCCAGAGCAATCTTCTGATTGTGGAAATTGAGTCACAGGATGTCCTGGTCAGACTCTGCCATTTCCTGGGCATTTCGGTGACAGGCACCTAGATGCCATCTTGGGTGGCCCAGTTAAGGTGCTCCCTACACATGGCTAGTGAGGACAATATTAAAAAAATTGTGGCTATCATTACTTCAGAACATTACAAGAATTAGAATGTTATATGTCAAAGGATTTTTAATTCTTAATTGCTTCTATAAAAATAAAAACATACAGACCAATCTATGGCCTCAAATTACAATTACAAAGTGGGGGAGTTAAGACTACAATGAGGAAACCACACAATGGGTGGACAAAATGAACATCACCAACGATGTGAAGCACACTGTGCCTCCAGCGGAGAGGATGAAGAATAACCGCGGTGACACAAAACGTACATCCAAAGAAGTGCAGAAGTGCTGGAGCTGACTGCTCTACCAAAAACTGGTCTGTTTCCGAAGACGTTGAGGCCAAGACAGAGAGAACTGCTTCCCAGTAAAACATGGAAGGCACATGACAGCCAAATTCAAGGTGTAACCCCAGACTAGATCGTCTGACAGAAAAATGATTACATAGGCCATCACAGGGACAGAGAGAGGAACTCACTGGATACATTAAAACACTGTGTTGATGCTGAACTTCCTGAGCTTGGTGAGCGAACTGCAGTATGAGACAGTGTTATTCTTAAGACACACGCACTAAACACTAGCTAGAACGGAGGACGAGTCAGACAGTGTTTAAGACACAGGCATGTTTGACAGTGAACTCCCAAGGCTTTCCCTGGTGGTGCGGACATTGTTGTGCTTGAATAACCGCGTTACTCTATGGCGTTCGGGACAGAACCGCTTAATGACACTGTCAACCCCAAATAGAGTGATGCATGACTGTATTCTAGCCTCCAACTGTTCGGAAAACTGTGTGTGTGTGGAGGACAGAAAAAAATGACGAAATGCTAGATGGAAGAATCTGGGCTGGAGAATGCTGAAGTCCTCCGTCCCAGTCCTGCAACTTTCCTGTAAACGTAACATCACTTCAAAGCCACAAAAAGCGACCAAAAGTAACTATCCTAACAAAATCACACACACACACACACACACTTTTTATTAGTGTTTTTAATATACTTTCTAGAAGTAAGATGGTGTTTATCAGGGCAAGTTTCTCAGTCTCTCTCTCTCTCTCTCTCTCTCTCTCTCTCTCCTAAGAAAGTGTGAAGTTGCAAACCATAAAAAAGTGAAAAACTGAATAAAATAAAAATTTAATTATCTTCCAAGGAAGAAAGTCCTTTCTTAAATAAGTTTTCATACACTGTCAAGCTTTCCCGACTCAAGGACGGCTTCACAGTCCTAAGCGATTCCCTGAAGTGCTCTTGCTTCACTGAGGTTGCTTCCAGTCCGTTCTCTTGCAGAGCAAACAAGGCAGCCTGAGGACAGAGACAAGCAAGAGAGAACAGTTAATTTGCTTCATTTAAAAACTAGCAGTAACGTCAACACTGCAGTCTGGCTGTAAACCTTTGGCCTCACGTCAGAGGAGTTCAAAGCCATCACAAACACTAAGCTAGAAGTTAAGGAACCTAAAAATCCACCCTACAACACAGTTTTGTTTGGTTTTGGTTTTGGTTTTTCAAGACAGGGTTTCTCTGTGGCTTTGGAGCCTATCCTGGAACTAGCTCTTGTAGATCATGGTGACCTCAAACTCAGAGAGATTCGCCTGCCTCTGCCTCCCAAGTGCTGGCGACTCAGGGTAGGAGAGGGCAGTGTTGGGTCTCCAGCGTAGAAGTGGGCAGTGAGGTGATCTTTGTGGGGCAACAGGGGACAGAGGGTAGGAAGGGGCCAAGGAGGATTCTAAAAGTGTGGTCACTTCACAATCACGCACTATTATATACTTAGAGCACAAACTTCAAACTTACCTCTTTGCAGAGGTTTCTAAGATCAGCTCCAGAGAAAAAACCCGTTTCTGCTGCTAGCTTTTCTAAAGAAACATCAGGCCCTATCGGCATGTTGTTTGTACAGACTTTTAAAATAGAAAGCCTGCCCTGAAACAAAACCAAAGACAAAATATTTACAATCCTTAACATTCATGCTTAACACTGATACATTAAACATTTTAAGTTCATTTTTTTATCATATTACAAAGTATGTATATGTAGTGTATATGTACAGTGTGTGTATTTGTGTGTGTGGTACATGTGTAATATGTATGTATTTGGGTGTGGTGTGTGCAGTGTATATATTTGTGTGTATAGTGTGTATTTGTGTATGTATGGTGTATGTGTATATATTTATATGTGTGGTGTCTGTGTGTAGTATGCGTTTGTATATGTAGTATATGTATATGTGTGGTGTATCTGTGTGTGAGGTGTGTATGTGTGGTGTGTGTGTGTTCATAATCAATTAAAATCACTCTTGCTTCTGAAAGAGACTGAGTCATCAATGGTCCACACAGTAATGGTGAAAAGCAGTTTCTTAATTATGCTTCAAGTAGCCAATAGTAACCACTTCTTACAAGACAAGATGACTCTCTTTTGGGAACAAATACTGCTATCAGAACAGTCTTAAAAACATGAATTATCAGATACATTTAGAAGCATCAGACATTCATTACTTAAAAAAAAAACTCTTTAAAATTTGATAAAAGCCCAAGGAAGGAAAAATTAATTCTTGGAGCCCTTCACCATCTGCGAGTTGCTCTGTGCACTTCCTGACTGAACACACTGCAGACCCTGAAGCCTCAGACACTGCCAAAGCCTTCAGCACCTCCTCCATCCCTGTGCACAACACCACCCAGTGCCCTCCACACTGCTGAGACACCAGAGTCACTTCCAGGCATGCTTCCCTGAAGGCAGGGCCAGGGAACCAGCATGGACAGACACCAATCAGAGCACGAGGTTGGCCTGCGCCCATCTGGAACTCAGGCAGACATGGGTGCACTGCTGAGTGCAGAGGAAACATCAGCTGTTACCTCCTGATCAGGAGGGGGGACATAGATCATCTTATCCAGTCTTCCAGGCCGCAGCAAGGCATCATCTAAGACGTCAGGCCTATTGGTGGCCACAACGATCATGACATTCTGATGAAGAATCTCTTGGTATTCTGAGGGAAAGCATATAACACAGAGTCATGTCAACAAACTGCTACTTATTAAAACCCTTTCAAGTAAGTCACACATGACAAAGTGCTCTTTCAACAAGGACAACCTCTCCTCAGAGCCAGGATGCTTACTCGCCATCCCAGACACCTTCTTGGTACCAAGTCAACCCACAAGTGTCTGAAAGGATAGTAGTCCTGACAGGTGTTTCTCTGTGTGAGAACTGACAAAGGGCCAGAAGGAAGGACACCTGCCTGGTGCCCAAATCCACTCAGGCACCCGATAGATGACAACTATAAACAGACCGCTTACAAAGGCAGACTGCATGGCTAACGGGGGCCATGATGGTTCTGCAAGGTCTAGCTTTCCGTATCCCCAAAGATGAAAATTTCATCTTTTTTTCCAGAGGCAGAAATGATCAACCTGAGCTGTAGTTATGCAAACCCTGGATGCGAAGCAACATGTGCTTCTGTTTGAAGTGGGATCTCATGAACCCCTGGCTACCCCCAAACTCTCTATCCAACAAAGGGACCTTCAACTTCCGCTCCCTTGCTCACACCTCCTAAGTGCCGGATTTCCCAGCACACACCAGCACACCTGGTTTTGCGTAGTGCTGGGATAGCATTCAGGGTTTGGTCAGGCCAGGAAGTCACTCCATCACTGACCTACATACAACCCCAAGCCCGAGAGAAGAAACAGTTAAAAGCAAGACACGGCAGGGCCTAAAATCAAAACCATTCATTGAGTTGGATAATTCAAGTGGTCCTCCAGTGTTTACCCCCCAGAGTAGCAAGTTTCCCAGCATGCTAATGGGAACCCCTGCAACATGAGATCAGGTTATCGTGGGGCCCCTTCAAATTATAGTGTGCTTTGTTTCTACTGAGTGGTTAAGATGCTCCCTCTGTGGAATAATTTAAACATAGGGAACAAACAGAAATATGATTATAATAAATCAGATATTACCCACTCAGGGTAAGAAACCACTGTCTGAAAGCAGAGGCTCATAGAAGCAGAGGACTCAAAAGCTAACTTTACTCACTTTCAACTATTGAAGTTACTCAAGTACTAGTTTGTTTTGTAACTGAAGGAAGGTAAGTCCTTCTCAGGATATATTCTCATATTCATGAGAATAAATTCCCTTCTCCATTAAGTAAGATATATTTCTCATTCTTTGGAAAATAAAATCCACATCTAAGATAATTATAAGACTTTTTACTTATTCTGCCCAAATCACAATTTTTATCAGTCCTATAAAAGCCCCAAGAAGTCAGTGACATCATATAACCCTTCAGAAGATGGATTCAGCCTAGGAAATGCAGTTGTGTGGGAATGCTACCTAATTATGGCCTGAAACAATGGTGCATCCTGGCTAAAGAAGAGCTCCAGCTCCTGGTATTTACCCTGGTGGTCTGATTTATTCCCTCTTCTCTCTACCGTCCTAACTCCCACACCATCGAGTTCATTCAGCAGAACTGAAAGAACTCGCTCCCGAGCATCACATCCCAAGGTGCCGACTGAGCGAGACCCCAAGACTGAGTCAATTTCATCCAAAAACACAAGCGCTGGAGTATTGGCTCTTGCTTGTCGAAATACCTTAGTGAGGGAAAAAAAACATAACGTCACACGCTGTTCCGGTGACTATTTTCACTTTGCTATCTGCAAACATTAAAACAGAAAAATGAAGACTCCAAGTGCTTAGGAACTAGAAAATTAGTAAATAAAAAAGTCAGTTATAGATAGTCATAAAAATGCTGTCTTCTTTAAAGATATTTAACATGGAAGTGATAACGCTCTTTCCTTTTAAAACAGGATTTCATTATGTAGCCCGGGCTGGCCTGGAACTCACAGAAATCTGTCTGTCCTGAGCACTAGGATTAAAGGCATAGCCACCACACCCACCTGATAACAAATATTTAACTTTAAAAACCCAGAGAGACGGCTCAGGGGCTAGTACATACCCACACTGGGTGACTCATAATTCCCTGCAACTCCAGTTCCAGGGGAATCCAGCGTCCTCTTCTGGCCTATGTGAGCACTGCACACAAGTGCACATGCCACACATGGACACACACATGTGCAATGATTTTTTAAAAATTAAAAATAAAGTTTAAAAAAGATAAAATTGCAGGTTGATAAAACCTCACCTCAACATTATTCAAAACCAGAGAGAAGAAATACATGCAACAGCAGCAGGAGGCGGAGGAATTGTGGGGAAGAGGGCTCTTATTTTAAACTTAAGCATGTATAACTTTTACGGCTGAGGAAAAGACAATACTTGAAAACAAACGAACCTGAGACAAGACTTTTTCCGAATCTCCAACATAAGGTGAAAAGAGGTCGGCTCCGCTCACTGACACAAAAGAGCAGTAGCAGCTTGTGGCCAGGGCCCTCACCAGAGTGGTCTTAGCACATCCGGGGGGGCCATAGAGGAGAAGGCCCTTTGGCTGTTTCAGACCCATCCTAGCAAACTCCTGAGGGAACTTCAGAGGCCACTCGACACACTGTCAACAGGCAGAGAGACGGAGATGTTAGTATACCAGGCACTTCCCAAATCCCGCCCCTCATCTGGCACATCCCAGAGCCGGTTGAGCTGAAACAGCCTCCTGTCCTGAGCAGCCCAAGAACCCAGGTCCCTACTACTTGGTTTCATCTGCACCCAATGCCTTTCACTTGGGGTACCAAGCTATGCCTGAACATTCTCCCAACAGTTCTCTGTGGCGTTTCTCTTTAAACTTTTAATTATCTTTAAATTTGTACTGTCTGGGTCTGGGTATGTCTGTGTATCGTGTGCATGCCTGGTCCCTGCAGAGGTCAGAAGTCCCTGGATCCCCTAGAACAGGAGTTATAGATGGTTGTGAGTCACCATCTGGGTGCTGGGAACTGAACCAGGTCCTCTGTAAGAGCAACAAGTGCTCTTAACTACCGAGCCATCTCTTCAGTCCCATGTGGGTAATCTCTAACTCTCATCACCTCAAACTACCTGCTTGGAGAAGTCTTCCAAGGACCCTGAGCAGAAAAGCACCCCTTCTCCCGGGCACAGCCTGTACTGCCTTCCACTGTACTTAGAACATTTAGAGCTCATTACTATTCTTCTCCCATGTTGGGCTGGTCACTCTGTTCCCGCTACAGAATCAGCAGAGTTCACACCTAAATCCGTAAGTCCCAGCAGGCACTCATTAAATGTTGCTGAACAGTGAAGAAGTCCTAAACACTCGAAGGCAAATAGCTTTACAATCATTTTAGAAACTCAGAGACTCAGGCCTATGAAAGTTAGACGTGAACTTTACTACTGGTGAGTGTCCAACTTAGTGCTGGTGAAGTGGCAGAACCAACAGTGACCTCAAGAAAGAAGGGTGGCAGGTGAGAGCTTTGTTCCAAAGGAGACAGATTTTTAAACTAACTAGGCCAAAACAGGCACTCCAAGGAGAAGGGATACTACAAACAGAGATGCATGAAACCATTGAACTGACTGTCCCAGCAGTGAGCAGAAGCAACAGAAGTGAAGTGGAAGTGGATCACAGTAGGCCCTGCAAGCTCCAACTGACAATGCAGAGTGTTCTGGAAGGGAAGGAAACTGAGGCAGGGAGATCAGTCAGGTCAGAAATCTCTTGCAATGATTCAGGCCACAAAAAACTGAAAGGCTGGATGTACCACAGGCAATGAAGACAGCAAGACAGACTAGTCACTGAAACATAAGGAACTGCATTTCACAAAGTTCTGGCACCATACTTCTGACGGGGAACTGCTTGCTGGTTGACCACAGCCACCCATACAGGGAATCTTAGGTGTGGAGGTAGCGTTCTTTTCAAGATAGAGTCTCACTATGTAATGGTGGCTGTCTCGAACTCACAGAAATTCAACTGCCTCTGTCTCCCGAGTGCTAGGATTAAAGGCATGTGCCCTACACTTGGCATTAACTGGACCCTGGACATGTCATGTTGGCAGCCCTGTGGTTATCTAGCAGAAAGATTGCTAAGCAGTCCTGCTGAGGTCAGGGAAAGTCTATTCAAGACTTTTCAAGTAACAGCGAAAACGGTCTTAGATACCGTGACCATCACCTTGGACTGCAGAAAGGATGTCTAGGGCCGGAGAGATGGCTCAGTGGTCAGGTGCACATGTTGCTCTTGCAAAGGACCTTCCTAGGTTTGGCTCTCAGAACCTACATGGTAGCTCACAACCACCCATACTCCAATCCCAGGGCATCTGACACCCTGATCTGTATGTGGTGACCATTATATATACACATGCAGCTAAAATACTAATAGGCATAAAATAAAAGTAATTTTAAAGAAAGCTGTCCATGAGTCTCTCAGAGCACCAATATCTCAGGGAAGGGAGAAGGGAGCCCAGAAAGGTAGGAAGTGCCACGGCCAGGCTAACAACACAACAAAGGGGCATGGCTGATGCCTTTCAGGCACGAACTTTGGGACTGTGAAATGAGACAAGCCCATAGGAAAAGTTCCCCACAGCTTCAACCCCAGACCCCAGGAGGAATAGCACAGTATTTGCACATAACCTGCATCTATGTGCTGTAAATTACCTCCACCACTCATAATAATGTAAATGCCATGTACATACTTGGCACACTACATTCTTTAGGAAAAATAACAAGAACAAATGTTGGATCTGGTCAGGGCAGACAATAGTTTGGACAGCTGGTTGTATCCACAGATGCAGAACAGTGGAAACACGGGCCAAACGTTCTCATTTACAGGCTCTCAAACTACTGTGGCGAAGGAATGACTGACAGCCTGCATGTCTCAGAAGTTAAAGCATTTACTATCCAGCCGGTCATGGGAGTTCTGCCGACCTGTGTTCTGGATGAGAATGAACTCCTTAAAGCAAAAGTTTTTAGAGAGGGTTAAGATGGGAAAACACAGAAACTAGATTTGATGTCTGCAGAGCAGGAATTCGGGTAAGACAGCAAATGTATTTGATTGCGGCATTTCCATTACAGACACAGAACGCTACCATGGGACTCAGCCGGACAAGCTGATTAACAACGCTTACCTGCTTTAACTTCAGCTTCACATCTTCAAGTCCCCCTATCTGCTCCCAGCCAACAGGCTTGACGTCCATCAGCCCAATAGAACTTCGAAATGATGAGGGCTGAATCTTTTTCAAAGCGTCAAGAAAGTCAGTTTCATCAATTTGAGGACTGTCCTGGTTCTGAAGAAGCCCCAAGAGAAAAATCAAGCCAAAAATTAGGCAGGCTTTTGCTATAGCATACACACATAACAACCTAAAGAAAAAAAAAATCTCTCTTTTGAATGTATAAATCTAATTCCACTAGTCTCAAGTTCAAGCATCGCAGACAATCCTTTCCTCGAAGTGGAAGTGCTGAGGTCACAAGGTCCCAGGCCTAAATTCAGACAGCTACAGCTGTTAACCCGTCCTCTCAGGAAGCCACAGCCACGCCTGCCCCTCTGGCTACAGGAAGCTGTTCTCCCCAGAAGACTAACAAACTTTCAAGTCTGCCAGGATGTGACAGGAAGAAATAATACTCAAATTGTGTTGATTAAATTTCTTCAAACGAGAGTGAAACAGAGGAAATAACAAGTAGAAAGACATCGGTGTTTGCGACTTTCTATAAACGCTGTTTTGAATAAGAACACGGAGGAGGGGATATCTTTACGCTTCAAAGCATCTCCTCGTACTATAGCTCCATGGAGGAACCAGACACCGCCCGGCAGCCGTTCAGTATTCGGTTCATAACACCAATGAGCAGCCGAGGGGTCTTGTGCTCCACATGGTAAAGTCACAATCCTGACTATGTACTGGTCCCATCAGGGATGTATGCCTGGAATCTGACCATTCTACAGAATAACCCAAATCACTCATGTCAAAGTCACAAATCTCAGATTTAAAAAAAAAAAAAAGACAAACAAAAACCTCAAGTGGCCCCTATAAAACAAAAAACATGCCCGTACACAAACGCGAGTACAGACAGACAGACAGACACACACACACACACGCACACACGATGGACAAGAGAGTATGATATTACTAACTTAGCAAGATGTTAAAAAATTATGGATTTAGATAAAGGGCCTGGTTAAAGTTCTCTGTAACTATTTTGGAACTTCCCAACAAAATTTAAATGATTTCAAAAATAAAAAGTTAAAAAGAAACTTAAGAGAAAGCGACTTTTAGAGAAGCTAAGCATCCTGACCCTATTTCCCGGTGACTTACTGTCTGTCCCTCCCCTCTCAGGTTGTTGCTCTCAGCTGTCTTTAAATGCTCTTTCCATAAGAAAACAATGGGCCCGAAGTCCTTTCCCTAGTCATGTCTGCAAGTTTACTTATCTGCCCATCTCCAAATGTTCGAATAGCAGGTCACATCCTTTCTGGCTCTTCTCATAATACTCAAAGGCCATCTTCCCCCTATCATTAAGTATTAATTACGATTTTCTTGATCATCCCAGTGAAGCACAATTTTGGTTTGATCAAGGCTACTTAGGATGGGGTGGGGGGGAGTGGAGGGGATGGGAAGAGGGAAGGGAGTGGGAACTGGGACTGGTATGTAAAATGAAAAAATGATAGTTTGTTTTCTTTTGAAAAACAATAAATTTAAAATAAATGAAAAAAAGCTTCTTGTGCTCATTTCTATTTTACTTATATTGTTGTTAAGTAATTTGCCTTCATATCATATTCTAAGTATTGGGTTGTCTATAAACTCATTTTCAACTATTTGATTCCATTTCTATAAGGCTATGAAAGTGGATACTTTTGATAACCAATTCTAAGTAGTAGTATCTAAAAATGTTAGCAGCTTTCATGTCTAGGGTGATGTTTTAGGCAAAGTTCACTTTCTTTATACTTGGCTTTCCTGTTGAGTTTCAGTCGTGTGTTTGACAGGGACACATTCTGACAAACTTTCGCAGGTTGATTTATCATTCTTGTGCACGTGTTCTATTGTTGATGAAAAGACTCACGGAACACATAACCGTAATTTTCTGTTTTGTTTCTTTACTGGTTTGCGGTATTAGATCCTGGGCATGGAATACTCAGTCATTTTAGATACCATCAACTAGCATTTGAAAATCTCACTTCAAGGCCACTGCACACTCTCCACATCATCTGACTCTCTGCACACTTGCAGGTATATACGTCCTCTCCTCTTCTGAATTTATTAAACTATGTTTCTGATTCCTTAATTGGACTCTTTCAGAAAAACGTTAATGGATTCCTTGTCTGCCCTGGTACAGAGCCTCTCACCTGCCTAGTGGGAGAAGAAAGATGAGCCAGATCTTCCCAGACATCTCTGTCCCTTCTTCCCTCTGCTTCCCTCGGGTTGTTTCTGAATTTAGCTATTACCTATAGAGACTAGACCACTCCTCAACAGCAGTCAGTGGCTGGTCCACCTAAGCCAGAGAAGCTTAGGATGAAGTCTAGAACTTCAAAGCAGAGGAAATCTAAATGAGCCCCCCCTTCCCCTCTTTGGAACTCTCACCCCTTCCCACAAAAGACATATATTCTCATACCTTTACACAAGATCTCATTAAAACTCTAGGCAGTTTGGTACCAAATCCATTAAGATGGGGACTCAGAAGTGCATCTAACTTCTTCCCACCGTAGAATGAAAATAATGCAAAATTAGGAAAGATATAAATTATTTAGTTGAAAATAATTTAGGATGTTATGAACGACACTGAAGTGTCCTAGAATCCTCAGCTGCTGAAATTATTGTTTGCTGAAGACGTTTAGGGACTCCAGTTATCAGATACTAAATGACTTGATCTTTAAATTAATAGTATTAAAAAAATACTACATTTAACATCATTCTAAATATTTTAAAGTAGTTATAAATTCAAAATTTGAAAATCAGTGACAATCTTGAATAAAATACAATTCCAAGTATTCAATTTCTCTTGAATTAGCAAACTTTATTTCTCCCATAGACATTTATCAATCACACACAAAAAAAACCAGTATCCTGGCAATGAAGAACTCTTACAGATACCACCTTATTCTAGAAATTGAACTTTAAAGTTAACTGTGAGTGGTTAAAATTCTTGCTGTGGTATCATGGCTGTGGGTTATTTCTAAATGTTTTAGGAAGACAAACACACATGTAAACTCAAGCACACAAAGAAGGAAATGAGAAGTAATCCAGCAGATGTCACGACTAGAGCATTGGGGGAAAGCTATACAAAAGCTCTTAGTCCTACGTTTGCACCTTTCTGTCTAAATCTCAGGTGGCTGCTTAAAAAAATTTCAGTTCCAATCTGTCAGATTCTTCTGAGGGGCAATATCCTTCCTGGCTGCTCTGGCTCTAGCACTAGGGAGTTCCTGCGGCAGTGACGAAAATTCACTGAAGAAACTGCCTGGAAGATTCGGCCATTTCCTCATCTTCAATCATATATTTATACGGCATTGAGATGCAAATCTATGATATAAATTTATATATGTATATAAATTTATATACATATGTTCACATACAACACACACACACACGGAAACAGCCATGGAGACTGCCAACCATGCCAAAGAACGTACTGTACTTAACACTTCTTTAACCCCAAATTAATTTGTCTATCACCAGGAAAGACGAACACAGCTAATCATACGTCAAACGTCTTACCTTCTCATGCTTAAGAAGGGCACACATGGCAGCCTCCCTACAGAGTGCGGTCAGGTCAGCACCAACATAGCCAACTGTCATTTCTGCCAAGAGACCTAAGTCAATCTGACTGGAGACGGGCATCTTGGAAGTAATCACTTGTAGAATTGTCTCTCTTTGTTTAAGTGTGGGAGCCCCAATGACAACCTACAGGTAAAGCAAAAAATAGAAAAATTAAAACTATACAACTAAATCCTTTCTTTAAAAGCATCCTCACAAATCTGCCCCCCAAGTGCCGGGATTAAAGGCATGTGGCACCACCGCCGGGCAAGGGACTCTTCTGTAATGACACTGTCATAACTATTCTTTGTTGTCACATCTGGGAGGAGGGAAACTCAATTGAGGAATTGCCTCAATCAGATTGGCCTAGGGCATGTCTGCAGGGTTTTAATTGCTAATACATAATTCTGGAGCTTGCATCATGACCTTTTTAGCACACCTTAGATTCTGAATATAAAAAAATACTAATTGCCTAATGGACCAACAGAGGCTGGGAATTTGATCAATGAAAATTATATATTTCACTGAAGAAGTTCTGGCCGAGTTGGATCAAACAATAGGCCAGATCATCCAGGTGCTTGCTCTTTGGGAGGAGGGCCTTTGATAAGATGGTGCACGGAAGAAACCCACTCACGGCCTCGAAAGAGTTAAGCAAAAGTATGCAATTGCTACTTCTCTGCAGAGTCCTACCCCAAAATTCACGCATTGCTTAATTACTAGTTATTCTAACTATTCCTTAGCAATTAAAAAAAAAATCACTTGAAGACCAAAGCTCGTAAAACAAGGCAGCTCTGAATATTCAACTTTCTTGACAACCCAGGAAGTCAACTGTAGAACAGGAAGCTGGTATCTTGACACGGAATGAATATATTAAGGGGCTAATGTCTGCGTTTGTTTGCCTGTCCCATCTTCTCTTACTGTGACTAGGTTTTTACTCCAAAGCTGTTTCAGTTGAATATGCTTGCAACAGGCTGAGCTACCTTAAGACTTAACATATATTAGTCACCTTCATGGCCCGCAATACAAAGCTAATGACCACCCTGTTTCCCAGGATGATCTGACTCTAGAATAAGCAGGCTCTGGCTCACAAGTCACAAGAGATCTACAAACCCTGCCTGACCCAGCTGTTCAAAAAGGTGAGTTTCGAGGGACCAGGGGCTCTAACCAGAGCGGACTATTTACCTCTCTGTCAAACCGCCCGGGCCTGCGCAGCGCTGGGTCTAACTCATCTGGCCGGTTGGTGGCTCCCACAACCACAACCTCCCGGTCCCCGTGGATGCCGTCCAGCAGCGTCAGCACCTGGGCCACTACCCGGCTCTCCGGGGCTCGCCGCGGGCCACCTCTCCGGGGACACAGGGCATCCACTTCGTCCAGGAAGAGGAGGCTGGGCCCGCGGCTGGCCAGTTCCCGAGCGCGCTGGAAGACGCGCCGCACGTTCTCCTCGGTCTCCCCGGGCCGGGCGCCCTGCAGCGCCGGGGCGCTCACCGCCAG